AGGAGGATGAGGATGAAGAGAAAGGAGGAAGGAGGAGGATGGGGGAGGAGAAGGAGGAGGATGAGGAGGGGGAGGAAGAAGAGGGGTAGCGAGGAGGATGAGGATGAATCAAGAGGACGGGAGGAGGAGGAGGAGGACAACAAGAAGGAGGAGGAGGGTGGAAAACGGGGAGGAGTGAAGGACAATGGGAGAGAGGGGAGAAAGGAGGAGGCGGAGGAGGGGAGGAGGAGGGAGGATGACGAGGAGGAGGAGGAGGAGGAGGAGGAGGGGAAAGAGGAGAAGGAGGAAGGGGAGGAGGAGGAGGAGGCGGTGGAGGAGGAAGAGGAGGAGGAGGCGGAGAAGGAGGAGGGGAGGAGGAGGCGGAGGAGGTGGAGGGGGAGGAGGAGGAGACGGAGGAGGAGCAGGAGGAGGAGGAAGGGGATCGAGGATCGAGGATGCACGGGAGTCCGCGGTCGACCGCGCCGCCGCGGCCCCGCGCGCGCCTTCGCTAGGCGCGCGTCGGGCACCGTCAGGTGCATGGGAGGGCGCGAGGCGTGCCGCAGCAGGCGGCACCCTCCCCCCCACTACCACGCCAAGGCAGAATCTCTCTGCGGGGGGGGGGCGAGACGTTGGTCAACCTCCCCCCGAACCGTGAACTCCCACAGGTCAACCTCGAACAGCACGACGGTGTCCATCTGCTGCTCGCCGAACCTTGGGCATCTTTCCTCCGTCCGGGGGCCACGTTCCATCTGGCCAGCATTGTCCAGCCTTGGGCGGGAGCCCCATCGTTAATCGCTTCAACACCGTCTCTCCACTGGGCGTGACCCTGTCTCTGCACGCGCCGGCGAGCAGTGTCAGTCTTCCTCGTCCGTCACTGCTGTGAGAGAACACCAGCGCACACCTCCAACACCAAAACTGGCTATGGGTGACGGCGATGTGGTGGCTCGGGTGGATCACCTTGTCGTGTATTCCTATCATCCCATTGTTGGGTACTGGTGCTACATGCCCATGATCTGCTCAATGGGTTTGGCACTGTCTTCCAACGCATATGTTAGTCTTCATCGGGTCGGTTACATTGTATTTGCCTGGCAATGTCCAACATTCTCTGCAAACCCACTGGCCCTGCTGCTTGTTCATGTTATGCCCAGTCACTTGTTCTTATTGCTGTCGTCGCTGCCTGGCGGCATGTCTTGGCGCAGGTGGTGGTCGGTCATGCTCTTGCGGGTCCACATCCTTGCAGATCTCGAAGTTAATGGCTGCCGCTCGCCTGTGCACCTTTCTGAGCAATCTCTCCGTGCCCGCCAGCTGCTGCACCTCGTGCTTGCAATTTCGTTGCCACTGCTGATATCAGGCGACTGCTTCGTCTTGGCTATGCACTCGCGGTCGGGGTGGGAGTAGCATTTGATGACTTTGACTCCACCAGCGCGCCCTGGTCTTCTTTGAATCAAGTGGCCTATCCGTTGCCACCGCCCAATCATTGTCCCTTGCGGCCTCTGGCAGCGCCGCTGGTGCCATCCATTAACCACTTGCTGACAGTCCGCGTAGATGGTGATAGGGCAATTGGTAGGCATGCGGGCCCAGAACACTGCCGCATGCTCTGCTGCACGTGCTGATTGTTCGCCGTCTACTGTGCCAACGTATCCTTTGTGCGTCGCGCCTTCGATTCTTCCATCGTCCGGGTAGGGATCGTCAAGCAAAACGGGCTGGGCGCCAGCCCCCCCCGAACAGCACCCCCCCTCCGTTGGAAGGGGCGCCCTGGGCGCTGGTCACCTGCCCAGGCGACATGAGCCCAAGGCGCGGGCCTGCCAAACTCCGCTCCTCGGGGTAGGCTGCCGTGCATCATCAGGATCTGATCGTTCGCCGTCTATTGTGCCAAATATCCTCTGTGCGTCGCGCCTGCGACTCTTCCATCGCTCGGGTCGGGATCGCCCAGCAAAACGGGACGGGCGCCAGCGCCTCGCACTGCACCCCCGCCCCCTTTGGAAGGGGCGCCCTGGGCGCTGGCCACCTGCCCGGGCGATATGAACCCAAGGCGCGGGCCTGCCAAGCTCTGCTCCTCGGATTTTGCCATAGGTTGCTGTTCATCATCATCATATTCTGGATGGTCCTATTCGGAGTTGGGTTCTCGATCCTGGAGCAACGATCGGAAGCGTTCTTGGATTTCTCGGACGCTGGCCCACCAATGTGCACTGTAGACTTCACGTTCTCGCCCATGTAGCGTTTGAAGATGTCCGAATATCGCTTGTCTTCGGCTCCTCGTTGTAGCCCATGATCCATTGCACATTTCCTTCGCTATATGGTTGACGTCCGTGGCTTGATATATTTCTGTGAGCTGTCGTAGTAGGTCTGCTTGGTCTGGTACATTGTCGCCATGTCTCCATGCACGGTACACGCCACATCTTCCAGCTAATCTCACTGATCTCCCAGTCGTTGCTGAGGTCCACCGCCCACGAAGAAGCCCAGACTCCCATGTCATGTATGATGTCGAGCGCTGGCTGGTTAGCAGGGTCTGGTCTGGGTAGATATGCCCGCTCCTTGTCGGCGACGTCCTGCTTCTCGATTGCATGGCGCCAGAGCGCTTCACATCCTGATCCTGTCGTTAGCCTCTCTGTCGAGTTGCGTGGCTAAAGTGCGGCCCCCCACCCAGCGCGATTGATGCGCATGTCGTCACTGGTGCCCGAGCCGTCGATGCAGGCATACGTACTTGCAGTAGTGAGGCCTTATCGCTGCCATCGCGTCAGGAACAACAAGTGGCCCTCTGTGCTCGGTACTCCAGCACCCTCCATCCCACTCCCCCCAGGCAGGGGGTTCCGGAACGAGATTACGACGTCGAGGTAGAAGTCCACGTAGCCAGAGGGCCTCGTTCTCAGGGCCCTGCTCCATCTCCTCCAGCGCCTGCTTGCAGATGTTCTGTGTCTTGGTGATGTCCTCCACGTTGAGGTTGCCATTCGTCTCGCACTCGTAGATCCTGTGCTTGAGCGTGTCGGGCGCTTTGCCGCACGTCGTACTGATACCGTCTGTGGCAGGCCCCACCGCTCTGCATCTTTCCCCCGCCCAGATTGCCCCGCAAGCTACTGCTTGCAAGGTCCCAGCTGCTTGTGCTTTATCTTCTTTGCGGCAACGTTGCATGGATTTTCTGAGTGTCGTCGCGCCCACGCCGTGCTGCACGCCATTGCCACAATCATGGTCTTTGACCTTCTGCCAGAGCTGCTGGCCAATATCTTTGGCAGTGGTGTTCATGACGTCCTTGAAGTCCAGACTTGCCCCTGGGTCTTATCTGCGTGAGCCTGCTGAGGTTCGCGTGCCACCCTTGGCGTAGACGATCGCGCGCAGCTCGTTTGCCCTGCCAGGTGAGTAGCCATTCCTTGACTTGTCGTTGGAGGCATACCGTTCCAGGTTCTTTGTCTCCATAAAACACAGCGTTGATCGTCGACGTGCGTCTGCCTCCCGCGCTGAAGCCTGCAATGTCCGCTGCCTGCGCACTTGCTGCTCGAACTCCGCGCGGGCTGAGTCCTGTTACTGGCCAATCGCAGTTCTGTTTGGCGCGCAGGTTGGCGTTGTGCAACATGGCCGTTCTCTTTCTCCATCGTCCTTTGTTCCTCTTGAAAAACCTTGCCCTTGAAGCTCGTTCACGTGCTTGCTTAGTACGCTTTCGTCGGGTCGAGGTTGTCCTTCTACGCCCAAGTGCTGCATCGATGCCCAGGCCCTCGACGAAACTTGGCGTCTGTATACAAATTGATTTGCTCTTCATGCTCTCTATGCTGCGTTTCTTGGTCGCGCTGCAGTTCGTGGGGATCGCTGACTTGCTTGAGGCCATCAGCTTAGCGTCTAAGCATGCCTGGGCCAACGCGTCAACAGTCCATGGGGGGCTGCTCCTTGAAATCAGCTTCGGCTCCTTTGACTCGCGTATGTAGGTCGTCCACGAACTCACACGCGATTGCCGGCGGTGCTGACCTGTGGGTGATGTCCAGCATGGTGTAGATCATGGCTCGGGCAGCGTGGTTGGCCGCAGGGCATCCTGCCACGATGCCGTTCCATGGACTTATCGGCGCTGCGTGATCTTGGCATGCCCGCACCACTCTTGGGGGCAAGTACATCAACATGACCATGTACAGGTTGGCCGTCGGGTAGTCCAATTGCATAGCCCGTCTGATGAGTATGCTGAGGTCCAGGCCGTGGTAGAATTTCTCCTCCAAGTCCAGGTCGCAGGTGCCGTAGGAGGTGCACTTGAGCTTCGCACTGGTCTCGTCTGATACCATGGAGAGGAGCGCTGCTCTTAAAGATGGTGAGCCTTGCATGGCCACGCCCCAATAGCATGCCTTTTCTGCGCGCCGGTATAGCATCTGTGTTTGCTATCTTGACCCATAACCGCACTGGGAAAACATAGAGTAAGCCAATCGGTCGTTATTCTCCTGCTGTGTTCGGTCCTGTCTCGGCTAGTAGGTGGTACCAGACGTGGTAAAACTGGTCCGGCCAGCTGAGCTTCTTCTCACACAGGTTGATTATAGTCACGAGGCTCTGCTTGGCTTCTGTGGGAAGGGCACGTGGTCCGGGTGGTTGCCACTGATCAGCTCCTCTTACCGTCGTTGGGCTGAACTCTGCTATTGCTGTCTTCAGATCCTCGAGGTCATACTGCCTTCTCTGCGGTAGTTCTTCTTGAGCTGCTTTACGGAAATCTTGCATGGCTTGGTGCATTCCGCTTTCTTGGTGATGTCTCTGCCACCGCGTTTGCCACATACCAGCTCGGCAATCAGCAGCGTCTTGCAATGCTCCAGTCTCCTGCCGGGTGGTGGGATCAACTGCCGTGTCTGGTAGGTCTCGTCGCCCATGTTTGCTCAAATATGTGCGTGCATCCTTCATGCTGTTTGAAAGCACAAAGCGCACCCACTGTGATACGTGTTCACGGATGCCTTTCCAAGCTTGTCGCCCATGCCATTCAGCTCGGACTCGCGCAGCCTCCGTTGCTTCTGCCCATTCACCGACGTGTTCCATTGACGTCTGGGTACTCATCATGTCGTAGCCTTGTGACTCGCAGTGCAAGCTGGTAGGCCTGCTGGTCAAGGTAGTCCGTCTCCGCTGTGTTAGTCAGCTCGCTCTGCTGAATCTGGTCGACCGTTGCCTCAATGATGCTGCATATCGCTCGGAGATGCTGTTCACTATCTTTAGGATGCCTGCGCAATAGAAGCTCGGCATCGCGGCACCTCTGATATAGCGTATTCAAGTTCATGCTATGACGTCGCCGTTGATCTGCCTTGGTGTCGCCATCCTTTTTGCCTTTGACGTGGTGCGTGCACGGTATTCCAACGCACTGCGTGGGCTGCCCTCGCCGCGATCGCGGCCGCATCGGAGCTTCTGCGATGGTAGCTAGCATTTTTTCGGCTGCGTTCGCCCACCTGCCGTAGAGCTGGCCCAACACGTCGCTCATGGTCGGGTCCTGCTGGTTAGCCATGGAATCCTGATCCCGCTGCGGGGCCTTCGTGATCTTGACGTCGCGCTCGCCGTTGCGCACGTCGCCCCATGAGCTGCCGTCGCATTGCATGGGCACTGTAGCCTTGAAGTGCGCGTCGGGCAAGCCGTGATCCATGGTGTCGACTGTGTCTCCGTGTGCGTGGAGTTTTTGATGCTGTTGCCGATCTCGCTGCTGACGTTTGAGTCCTTTCTCGCGTCGTACTTTTACTGTTGGGATCGGCCTCTTGGCAGGCAGCATGGGCATGCGAATGGTAATTGGCGCCAGCCTGGCCCAAAGCTCAATCACGATGCCGATGTGAGGAGACCACGGTGCCACATGCTCAGCACGCACTGTTTGCAGTGGGGGCCGAAAGCGCGGAGGTACAATGGCGCAATCAATCAACCGTCCTGATCCGCTGCTGCAGGTATGTGAGACGCTATGGGGCACGACGACTGCGCTTCCCAGCAACTTCAACCATGGTGCGTCTGCCAGCTCCTGCGGCGCGTTGATGAAGTTCCCGCGCGCCAGCCACGGCATGTTCCCGAGACCCCTGACGATCTGCAGGAGGTGCCGCATCTTCTTGATGTTCTCACCTGAGAAGCCGATGGACGCGGTAAGGTATATTGTGATGATCGCCACGTCCTGGCCCATGAGTCTCCATATGCGGATCGAGATATCGTGGAGTTCCTTGGCAACAATACTGTCCTGTGGTGTCTGGCATATGGACTCGCGTATCATGATGTCGCCGGCGCAATCTGCACGCGCCTCCCAATGCACCTTTGCGTGATCGCGGCGACTGTCTCGCTGGTGCCCATGTGCCGTGGGAACGCCATCCTTGGCGCATCAGCCTTGTCGCCGCGATCTCAGCGGCAGGTCCACGTAGGTGATGTTCGCACAAGGCGACAATATCGTAGTTCTGGTGACCCTCTATGAATTGCTCGGCGGCCTCATCGTACTGGGTACAGCTGGCCACGAAAAGGGCGACAGACTGCTTGCTGCCCGGGGAACTCTGCATGCTCTTGGAGTCCGTGACGGAAAGATTCCCACTACTAGGTCCTGGTCCCACGTTATCCTCTCCCTCAAGCAGTACTCGATCTCGACGCTGTGCGGTTATCCCCTCATCATCTGCAAGAGTACAGGCACTCAACTCGATGACGTTCGCCTCGTCGTCGAACCAAACAGACCCGCCGCAACCTCTGGGTTCCTGACGCAGGGCAGCGGAGAGTAGGGTTGAGCCTGTATCTTGGACAGGTCGCCGTTCAGAGTCTGGCTACCGTTACCCTCGCTCTTGATATTCAGCTGCTTCTGCTTTGGGTTGCGCTGGCTCTGACGCCGTCGATGGTGCTGACGCTTCCGCCGCGGCTCCTGGTTGGAGTGCCGCTGGTGCTGTACCCTCGCCAGCTGTGCCGGGCACTGCTCGATCTGGTCGGAGTCGGCGAGGTCATACTGCGAAGCCAAGGCCACTTCAGGTTCTGCTGCTAGAGGTAATTCAGGTCGTACCTCGTCTTGTTCAGCTTTACCTGCTACTCCTCCTGGTACCTCTGCATGTTGCGTTCCTGCAGCGGCCTTCCGTTTCTTTGCTGCCTGCGCCGTGTTGCGCAGGTTGGTGGCCCTCTCCAAGGGCTTCTTGGCATTGGTGACGGAATCCTTCTTCTGCTGTATGTACCCTCGCGCCTTCTGGAATTCGCCCTGGATGGTTTCGTACTCTTTCTTCTGGTTGGTGTCCAGCAGGGCGATCTCGTCTTGCAATAGCGTGGGGAACTCCTCATCCTCGTCTGGTTTCTCGACAGTCTTGCTCCGCTCATCGCTGTTGTCGCCCACTGCCGCCTGCGCCTC